GAACCTGGGAAACCAGGAAACCCGGGTGCATTTATGGCATCACTGCCCCCACCCCAGGTTAAGGGGCCTGGCAGAGGCAGGAGCAGGGCAAGTCAGCACAGCGATGCAGGGTGCCTCCAAATCCCCACTTGCAGATGGCAAAGGACACGGCCCCCAACCCTTTCCTGCGTACTCAGCTCGCCCCTCTCGCACCTGGCCCTTTAAATGGAGGGGGACTGCTACTGCCGGGCGGATCTAGGATTTAGAAAAGGGGGGTGCACACGATGAGCTGCATCATTGCATGTAACACAATGCACATTTTTCCCTAATTAAAGAGAAGCCAGAAGTTTCACGAATAAGGCAGGGGCCTAGCGCTTTGTTGCTGGTTTAAGATGGAAGCAGGAGCTGACGTAACTCGATCTGAATGCTCTTTAATTTGCTAGATATCGTATGTTTAAAACCCACAGCAAGGGAGGCAATAAATGGTCACAACAGGCAACAGATAATCATGTCATTAGTGCTGCAGGCACTGGATTTCCACGTACATCCCTTATTCAGAGTTGTAAAACAAAATGTAGTCTTGAGCATCTTCGAATCCTAGAGCCCTGGGGCTGGCAGGGACCTGCCGAGGTCACATCTAGTCCAGCCCCTGCTGCAGGCAAGATCAGTCCCGGCCAAACCAGCCCAGACAAACCCGTTGTCCAACTTCTGAGCAACACGACACAGTCGCCCCTGACACAGCACCAGGCATGGCACCCCACCCTGCCCCAGGGAAAGCGGGGGGACCGCGGTCACCAAAATCCTGCTGCTGCAAAGGGTGTTCATCTGCACTCCGGAGATCCCAGACATGGCCCCTTGCATTCCTCGTGTGTGCATGTGTGCATATGCATCCATGGGTGTGCATATGGGTGGATGTGCTTGCACGTGCTTTATACCCATCATCTCCCTCTTCCAAGATCCCACAGCACACGGACACTGCACAGCAATACCGTGGACAGCCCCTGCCTGGAGCCCTGAAATCCCATGGCACCCTGCGCTAGCTCCCGTCTCCAAAGAGATGCTATGTGCTGCTAAACGGCTGCTGGGCTCCGCACCAGAGGTGGCTGCATTTCAGTCCCTGCTGATGGCTATGGCCTTAGCACGAGCTTCCTTAGATGTAGTGAATACGGGGAACACGGGCTGCCCTAAGCAGACAGAGACGGATCTAAGCACAGAGGCCTCGAGCACCGGTGCGTAGCTCCGAAGGAGCTCGGTTCTGCTCCATTGAAGTCAGGAGGAGGTGGAGGCGTTGCAAGGAGCAGCCCACGGTTACACAGAGGCACCAGCCCAGCTGGGGAGAAAACCCAGCTGTCCTGATGCTGAGCCCCAGACCTGCCTGCCCACCCCGGATACACCCAGACTCCCGCCTCCTCTGCTCCACAGGCCACGCTGCTCCACGAGAAGTAGTGCTCCAGCCACGCAGCAAACCTTCCCTCATCCTTTATTTCTTTAAAGCAAACAAGGAAACGAAGGGTAAAAGCTTTGGCACAGCATCCTTAGGGCCATTCGATCCTAAATCCCCCAGGCAGAAGTGAAGCCATGCAAACCCAGCTCTGTACGAGCCATTTCCTAACCTGGTTGCTAGTACTGGGAACGAGCCTCTTGCTGGATTCCAGTTCAGGTGATAAACCTTTCCCCTTTCGGCTGACCAGATGCGTTTCTGGCGACGCTAACAGCTGGATGCCGAAGGGACGTGAAAGCCAATCCATATTAGTCTGTTAACTGCCTGCACAGACAAAGCTTTCGCACTGCATTTCCTGGATGTATTTGAAAGGCAAGGACAAAACCAGCAACAATCCAACTCAAATTGGTCCCGACACATGCTAGCTCGGGGAGCCCGTGCCTGTTTCTGCGGCTGTCCACTCACATCTTTCCTCTTTTCACAATTCTCCCCTTGGAGGATAAAGACTCACACAAACCCGTAAGACTGACTCTGATCACCCAAACAGGCAGGGGTGTCACCCCACGCTGCAAGTGCTCTGCGAATATTTGCAGAATCAGGGCTTCAACTGATGTCTGGGTATGGGAGGAGTCAGAAACATAAAACTCATTGAATCACAGAAAATGAGGGTGGAAGGGACCTCAGGAGGTCACATCTAGTACAACCCCTGCTCCAAGCAGGACCAGCCTCAACTGCATCATCCCAGCCAAGGCTTTTTCCAGCCGGGTCTAAAAATGCTCCAGGGATGGAGACTGCACCACCTCTCTGGGGAACCTGTTCCAGTGCTTCACCACCCTCCGAGTGAGAAAGTTTTTCCTAATATCCAACCTCAACTTCCCTTGCTGCAGCCTGAGCCCATTGCTCCTTGTTCTGCCCCCACTGAGACCAGCCCAGCTCCATCCTCTTTGCACCCCCCAGCAGGGAGCTGAAGGCTGCTATTCAATCCCCCCTCAGTCTTCCCTTCTGCAAACTAAATCAACCCATTTCCTTCAGCCTCTCCTCACAAGTCATGTCCCCCAGCCCCCAAACCATTTTTGTTGCCTTCCACTGGACTCTCTCCAATGTGTTCCCATCCTTTCTGTAGTGGGGGGCCCACAGCTGGACACAGGACCCCAGATGTGGCCTCCCCAGTGCTGAATAGAGGGGAAGAATCACTGCCCTTGATCTGCTGGCATCGCTCCTACCCATGCAGCCC